AATCCATATACATGTTCCATACATGTATATAGGAATGCTTGCATTAATCAACATTAAGATTTCTTTAAATGAAACTAAACCTCAATCCCAATTCCAGTCTACATATGATTACATCTTAAAATAATTTAATCCCTGTAAATCATTATTTTGTTCTGAAATATTTAATTATAGCTAGAGATATTTATTAAACTTCCCAAAAGAATCTAGAAGAATAGTAAAGTTTCCTGGCTTTAGTGTAGCAAGCACTCTTCATTCCACAAGCACTGGAAGAACCATCACCTTTATTCAATTCGAAGTTGTATTTTTATCTGTATCTTCTAATTAAAAGAAAAATAAATAATTAATTCTGTTTCAGAAAGACCTCCTCTCTTTTTCAGTAATACTACACATAGTAAAACTAAGTGGAAGCAGAAGAATTTGCATAATGCCTTTGTCATTAGTGAAAATAACCTGATTTTTAAAGCAGTAAGATTAGAAAATACTTTCGTAGTAGAGGCAGATTTATTAATGATACCTTATGCATACTAATTTATTATTCCCTAACAGTTAAAATCTGGAAACTTTTAAAAGAAAACTGTTTTGTTCAAAAGTTAAGCTTTGTTAAAAAAAAAAAATTCATTCTGCTTGTCCTTACTGCATAGAAAAGTCTTGTGACTCAGCCTGACAGTCCTTATTAGTACAACACACGTTTGTTACTGTTTTCTTTTGATGTAATCTTCCTAAGAGGAGGAGGAACTGTATTTTAACAGCTATCCAAGGGCATGTTTTATAGGCACACAGCACAGAATTTATGCCTGAATATAATCTGAATCTCATCCATAACTCTGATTTGGCTGGGAGAACAAAGCATTTCATTGTGTATTCAATAATAGTTTCAGCAATCTTATTCACACATTCCTTCCTTCCTTAATCAACAGAAACTGGCTGAATTCAAGAGGCATGATTGGGGTTGGGGGGGGGGAATAATGCCAAGGCCTATAGTTTTGAAATCACCATTTTCTTCAGAGCAAGTAATGATGTCTCTCCTATTAAGAATCTCTTACTGCAACACTTGTCAAGCTATTTTGCACCATGTCCTTTCCTACTGAACTTTGCCCTGTTCCCTCTCAGCTGGCATGGGCTATGCCTGTGCCTCTGCTGCTTCCACTTCCAACAACTGAGCTTTCCAGGGATCACAGTGCACAGTTTAGGAACCACTGTCTTGTGCAAAGGTCAAAGGTCTGAACAGACAATCTGAAAACCAGCGATTTTGAACTGGCAGAATATTGCAATGTGATCTGGTCATTCTTTTGAATTGTTTTTCCTTACGCACATTATAAACAGAAATCAGGGCTGTAAAATAAAATCAAAGTGCACACAGCTGTGACTCCTGATGCTGTACTTTGTAATGCCATCTAAAGCCAAGTCTGTCTCCTTATCATCTAACTTCTTAATTAGGTTTAATGTACTTAGTTGTATCTCTAAAAAGCCTGCCTTCCTAAGGAGTGTGAATCAGGAATGCACAAAATGGCTGTTTTTAAAAAACACCCTGTTACATGAAGATATCCTTTCATTTGGAAGTATTTCTTGGCACTAGAGCTCACTGAGGATGTTTAAAACATTTTGTGTATTATTTAAAATAACTTTTGCTAAGGAATGGAAGAACACCTACCTGAACTTATGCAGGCAAACATTGTTTGCAGATGCATCGATGTAACTTAAGACAGAATTTGCCCATTCCTTACAAAGTTACCATAAACAGTGTTTGTTGACACAATAAGATCTGTGACTGCAAAGGTCTTGCTAAGTTATAACATGTACTGTCAGAACACTACATTTTTTAAGCATTCTAATATTTGTTTGTTTAAAACAACATTATTTGGTTAATAAAATATACAAGACTGATAAACAATAACGCTGAAACCAATGCTTTTACTTTTTATTTTCAGGTCTGAAGTAGAGAGTACAAGCTTGTGTATGTTTTCTTATCAGTGTTACATGGCTGAAAGCTGTCAGCTGTTCACATGCCATATTAATAAATATGCCCAAATCATAAAGCTTTAACTGTATTTGCACATTGCTTTTATTACTAGACTGTTTTATTCATCTTGGCACAGATAATCCATGCAAGGTAGTTACTCACATCTCATAAACCACACTACATTCTGTTCTGAAATAACTAGGAACTTAAGAAAAAATATATATCTAAAAGCAAGGGCACTTGTGGCATCAAGTCAATATGTCAATATATTATAAAACCTAGACTTCTAATATATGATCACTGCAGGCAATAAATCACTCAGTTTCAAATTCTGATGTTTATAAATACTAAACAAATTAATATCCACTACCAGGAGACGAGTCTGGCAAACAAACATTAGCGTGCCCAGCATTAGACACTAATAAGTGTGTTCAGTGCTGTGGAAATTCACATTATTAAACATAAATACAAATAATCTTTAATAAAACATTTCACCCAAAATACTGACCACTGAAGGACCAAAGAAAAAAATATTCTTTGTTTTGAATTGATTTTAGAACTGTGTAATGTGTGAATCCAATATAGTAAAAACTAACTTCTTTTTTTTAGAAGTCCTAAGACTGTTTTTTTTTCCCAGATAATAAAAGCAGTCCTCTTTGGAAACATTTAATTTACCTTGTTCTGCAGGAAGAACACAAAAAGAGAGAAAAGCATTGAGATAGTTTTTGAAGCCTTAGACTGAAAAGTTATTGAACACTTTTTAGTTAGATGAAAGACTGGTCTTTTTAATTGATCATTCAGAGGTACAGTATCTTTGCTTTATTACGTAAACCCCCACATTAATTAGAATGAAAAGAAATATTCAGAGGAACTTAGGACTCATCCCAGGTATCTATTACAAGACATAAAACATAAATAAGTACACATTATTAACCTTGCATATTTTTGTACAACATTATGTTCAGTGATAATTGAAAGGCCATGTTTTGAATTTTTGATATATATATATTATATATATGCATTTTACACTCTCCACATCACAAAGGTGACATGTGACAGAAGAGTATCAGCAGTTATGTGGTATCCTACCCCTGTGAAAGTTAAAATGCTACATTATTCAAAAATTTCTGATTCAGATATGTGCAAAAATTATATCTTAATATAGATATCAAGGGCGGGTACGTGGATTCCCTATTTTTGGACCACATTATGAAGCAGCACAAGTCATAACAGGAAATTTTTATTACATGATAATCCTCAGGGTATCTCTGTTCTTCATCCAGAGATACTACTGCACCTCATATAGTGATATGTAAACTAGCTTTAATCTCACTTGCTCAGACACCAGCTGGAGTCAGGGCATGTGCTACAGTGCAGGTTATCTGCCCAAGGAAATTTTCAACACTCTCTCAAGTTAGTACGGCTCCCATTGAGAAGGAAATTTTCAGGATTCTCTCAAGCCAGTACAGCTCCCACTGAAGTCTGTGCTGCTGCATTTTCACTGTTGCCACCTCACAAGTTCAGCTCAGCTCTGCTTGAGGACGTTGCGTTCGCTTTTCTGCAGCACTGACTTCAGGTTTAGTACGTTGGGATTGGATCCTCGCTCACCTCTTCTGTACATACTCACAGCACCTCTCTGGACTATTGTGAGCTACTTGTACCCTAATTTCTTAATTCAAGCCCTTCCCTGAATGTAGTGAGTCATCCTGGCTATGCCCCCACCTCTGTTCCCACTCTGCCCCACCCCAACTACCTAACATGTCAGCCTGGTGAAACCGGCCTTACCTGGCTATTCCCCCCACTCCAACCCCAGCTTCAGGAAGGGCTTCCCTTACCTTTTTACACTCAACCAGAGGTCCCCAGAGCCCCCACATTCTGGCTGCTGCAGGAGCTCTGCCTTCTCTGACTCAAGCCCCCTTTCCCCTGCCCACACTGAAAGCCCCATCTCCCACAGCCCTGTCCAAGCCAGCAACTCCAGGCTGCCCTGGGCCGCTCCAGCTGCCGGTCTGGGCTCCTCAGTGGACTTCAAGAAGGGACAGTCTCAGCCACGCTGTGTCTATCAACAGCATCTCCCAGTTTGTAGCCCTGTCCAAGCTGCAGCCCTCCAGCTCTGGCCATATCCTAGAATGCTTCATCCTTCACGCTGCCAGGGAAGCTTTTAGGGACATTGAGGGGGAAGGTGGAGGGAGAATGAGACACACACACACACACACACACACACACACACACACACACATGTGCACATCAGAGGTGAAAGACCTCCTGAAATTCTCCTGAGGCTTCCACCACAAGCCCTACCATTTTGTGTCTTCCCGTGGAGCCTGACTCCCTGTTTTGATGTTGCAGTCAGAGACTAGTCCCAGTCAGTGGGTAACACAGAAATTTGTCTAAAGAATACCTTCAATCCACTCCTAGTATATAGTATGCTGATATGAATTCTCTCAAATAACAGATAATGACATCATTTTGTAGAATGACACTGAAAAATGAAAAGGAAATCTAGAATTATCTCACTGTTGTGAAAATGTATTTAATGAAGTCAAATTAGGGGTGGAAAAAATATTTAACTTCCATAATTACTATTTATTCCTCTGGAGAATATTGTGAGCCAGATCTTTGGATTTTGTAATCTATGGAACCATATTCATACCAGCCCAGCACCGACTGAAAACAGAAAATTTGCTTGCTTATAGAAAAAAAAAAGGCTTTGCATATAATGTACTAGTGTTTTAGACTAATTCATGCATACAAAAATCTGAGCCTGTAGCACTCAGGTCAGATCACTGCTAAGATCAGTGAAAACTAAGATACCTACTGAATAATACCAGTCATACATGTCAAAACTGCCACAGGCAGTTCAGGTTGTTATTTTTGTCCAAGATGCAAACTGCCTGCAGCTAACTTAAATCTCATATTAGAACTCCAAATTTCTTTTATTCCTCTCCTAAACTTTGGACAGGTTTTCATTCCTTGAAGGACACATAAATATCTTAAAATGGGCATTACCCACAGGAGGGGCAAGGCAGACAATGTTATGTAATTTTTTGTTGCTCAAAGCACAAGGTAAAATAGGTGCAGATGGCACCAGCATGTGGCCCACAGAATGCATCCTCAGCCTCAGAAATACTAATTCCAAACTGTCAGTACTGCAAGCTGTCAACACACACATCATAATTCTCACTTAAACGAGTTAATAAAACTTGAATAGTGATCAGACTTTCCATCTTAACTCCATCAGACAGAACTGCTGTCTCCAGTATAAAAGTAATTGCTATTTAAAAATTCAGAAGTATTATCAGTACTACAAGTTTTGCTCATTTGAAAAAAATCCAAAAAAATGTTCTATAAATAACTGTTTGAGCAACTTGAAAGTTGTTCTTAAAATATTAGAAGAAAGATGACTGTATGGTTCTTAGAAAAGGTGACTGTATGGTTATCCTAATTGTCAGAACCTAACTACTGTTTTACAATGGCAAATACTGCTACAATTAATGATGTGTTGCATTTAAACTAAGGAAAGTAATAGAGAGCGTGTGCCTGCTGCCTTATGAATTTTTAATCAATGTTAATTTACTATAGGAAAAAAACCCGCCTTTTTCCTAATTATGTGAGATAGAATAGGGAATCTTCCACTTCCTGGCTGTGCTAGATGGATGTGTTTCTTCTGTATTCATCAATGTGAAGGTCCAGATGTAGATTTCTACCTCCCTCTGGTATCACTGGGAATTAGAAACCAAAGAGACTTTGAATTTTTTTTTCCTCAAGAGGAAAGGAAAACTGATTTCAAATTAAAAGTTGGCCTTTCCAGATAGCTCTATTCCATTCAATGTCAGAGCAATTTGGAGAAAGCCAGTTGTCCCTTTTCCATTATGATTTGAAAGTGAACTGATCTACTGTACACATATAAGCCAAGTGCCCTGGCAAGGCTGACCCAGCATGCTTTTCTCAATCTTACTGGGTTATGGGAGGTGTTATTCTGTTTCCACTTCATTTTCAAACTGTTATGGATTGTCACCTAGGCTTCCCAGCTACATCCAGATTCAAGGCAGACGTTATTTGGAAAGAATCTAAAATATCTGATGCTATGAGGTAGCACCACAACATAATGGAATAGCACTCACTTTCATAGAGGAAGCCCTAATCTATTTATTTCCCTTTGAAAGCTATGGCCTTTGGTTCTACAGATGACTGTACATATGGCACTTACTCATTCTTGCTGTGAAAGAAAATGACTTACTACAAAAGGATTTTTCCAGTTGTTTTTAAACACCAGTGTGTGGTCTAAGCAGTAAAAACTGCTGTGGGTAGTTCATTTGAAACTGTATTTGCACATTACTTTTTATATTAAGGTTTTCGGTTTATTTCAAAATTTTCCCCAACTGCTGCTTTAATAATGGACTAGTTCATTGGTTCATTTGGTTCTGACTGTTCATTCAGTAGGTTTTCATATGAACCTTGCAAAAAAAGCACGTTCTGCATTTACGAAAGAGGATAAAGTTAAACTTCTGAAGTACCAACTGCCTAGCTTTTACCAAGGGAAATGCTAGCCATGGTTATCAACTTTATGATTGCCCAGTTAGTCATCTGTTTTACCCCAGCATTACTGACTACCAACTCTTCTTTTAAACATTGATGGCATGGGCATGCTTCTTGCACAGTGGCTTATCCTTCTTGGAGTAGAATGGCTGACCTTCCAAATTCACGTGGCATACCTAGAATTAATAATAAATACAATCAGGAATAATTAAGGGAAAAAAAAGAGTGAGATAGATGTGACTATCAATTTCAACTGTGCTTCTCTTCTGCCCATGCATTTCATTGCTAGAAGTGCATCTGATTTCCTGGATCAAAGTACACGCGTTGGTAGTTTTCCTACTCCACACTGAGGTTAGGCTCTGGTCTGCATCAGCTCTCCTATCTGTATTTCCTGACACTCCTGCCCACTAAGTTTACTGGTACAGGATCACCTGGGCAGCTTTGGCACATCCAAGCAGTGTTTGTGTAGACTGTCAAAGGATATTGGCACACTGGAGCACACGCTTCGACTTTTAGAACTTGCTTCTGATCCTTTAACACACGCAGGACTTCCCAAAGGCTCTGGTGAGGTGCCATGCTCCCAGGGGCACCAGCCTTTCATGAGACCATTAGACACCTGTTTCTATCGTACTTATGTGATCAAGGAGTGAGTCATTTAGACAGCCATCACTGAATACTAATTACTTATTCTTACCAGGTTACTCTGCAACCCAAGTGTTCTCTGCCTGGCTGCCTTAGGTGTCGGTGTCGACATAACAAGGCAGGTGAGAATGCAGGGCTGGGGCAGGGCAGCCCAGGTTCAGGTCAGCTTGAACTGCCCTGGAATTGCACAGGTGTCTACACAGGGTAATGCAACACCACTTGCAAGGTCAGAGTTGACTAGAACCACTTAAGGCAGGCAACACGTCACAATCTAGAAGTAGGAGTAAACATTGTCCCTAATGCTTATGGCAGGCTTAGGTGGCAACATCAGATGTGCTACTGCACGTTGCAGGATATGAGGATAGCATCTTAGAAATCAGGAGTCGTATTGATTTGCATTTGACTTAACCCATGAAAGAAATAAAGTTAGGTCCTAAATAAAAACCCCATTGTGAGGCATAATAAAACTATCACCTCCACAGAAAACTGGGTAGCTGAGGTAAATGAACGAGCAAAAAAGAACATGAAATATTCAGAGAAAGTGTCTTTTATAAGTGATCAATATTTATAAGTGATTAATAGCTCTCAGTTCGTGAAGGAAACTCTCTTCCTATGTTAGAATTTCCAAAAGACTTCAGTTTTCGCAAGACACTTTTGTGTCACTCACTTCCACGTACCCCTGAGAGACCAGTAGCTAGTTTAGCTTTAGATATTTATAAACATTTCTATACTTTCAACTCTTCAACCTAAATTTTAGAGTTAAACAAACATTAGAAATTGTCACTGTCAGTTTGGCGTAGCCAACATACTATTTTTAGCTAATTAGAGGTTCTAGATATTATCACTTTAGGAATACTATGTTGTAGAGCTGCACAGCAGTATTAGAACCAGATGAAAGTACTTTTATCATACGGATTTTTCTGCTTTGTGTGCAGAGTGTGGGAATATGGCCACCCTCTATAGCTGTGTGCACACCACAGATTGATGAGTTTGACCAACTTCTATGCTAACTGCTATTCATTCTCTCTAAACAGACTCCTTTTTGCAAGTTTCAACAAGCATTCTGCTTGGAAATACAAACTTTGCTGCTTTTTAAGTAAGGTTATGGTTATACTGTTCAGTATGGTGTTAATTTATTTTCAATCTTGCTCTATCTTTATTTGGTAAACACGGGAAAGAGTAACAGCAATACTGGTATGTATTGCTGTATGTACTCTCTAAAACTGGATGTTTTATCAGAAAACACTCACTTGTGACAGTCAAATTTCATAATTCTAGTAAAAGTTTATGGAGGAGAAGAGAAATTACTCCCATCCTTCTCCATCTGCAAGTGAAAAATGAAATTCCATCCTTCCACATCCTTAGGCGTATGTTAGTCATTCCTGCTTTCAGGTTTTCTGATGCTACTACACAATTTGGGAGTATAAAGGAATGAGACAGTATTTGGTGTGGAACCTACAGCACAAATGAAGCAAGTATCATGCCAAGTATGTCCAAGAGCTTCAATGAATTTGTCTCCAGCTTCAACAGGATAATCACAGCCATGGCATTTTGTGCTGAACAAAGCAATATAATCTAAAATAAAACAGAAAGCAAACTTAACACAAACTCTTAATGTCATTGTATTAAATCCAAGAGAAATAGAAAGTTTCCAGACAATGAATCTTTTGATTGTTTTTGCTCAGTTTCCAACTACATTCACTGAAACACTCATACTGAAATTTGGTTATTTTCTTTCATTATTTCAATACAAACTCAGTTCAAAACCCCACGTCAGTATGACATTTGTCATCACAAATCTAAAAGACAAACAAAAAAATTCATGGAATTTGAACTTATGTTTCTCACATTACTTTTAAATTAGCTTTAATGTATGTGGAATCTATTAATAAGGACAAATATGGTCACACAAAAGAGTCTAATGGCCAGGGAATGTTACAAGTTTTCATCACTGGATTTATGTTCTTTCTGCATTGAGAGAATATTATGATAACCCCATACTGGCTGATTAATACATCTTTACTTTGATTATCAAGTGCACTCGGGAAAGGCTTGACATTGAAAAAGATTAGTGGAAATTCTAAAGGTAGATGGAATTCATGAGAGTCATTAGATGTTATGACAAAACTTCCAATTTTAAAAGGTAGGTGCCCAGTCAGTTCAGCTGTGTGGTTTTTACTCCTCACTAAGAGTTACTCTGATTTGTAAAATTTGAATTGCATAAACCATAAGGAAGGAATCTCCAGAGAGAAGTAGGCTGGAGGCTCTTTGAATGGACAAGGGGATACAGACGGAATACCACTTCTTGAACTTTAACCTCCCTCCCTCCCAGGTCAGGCAGCTCATTTGCATGGCAAGTACCATTTATTAAACCGTATTACCTTTTCCACAGTTTGGGAAAACTTGGCCTTTTCCTTTGTTAATTGGCAAGAAGCAGTTCATATGTTGCAGCAGGCAGAAAACAAAATCTGCACTACCATGTGTTGCACATCTGTGCAGAGCTATCTTTTCATATATGGTGGTTGAACAATTTTAGGGTGAGGCAGCAGCATCAGAGGTCATAACTCAAGTGATTCAATAGAGAGATTGTGGGCAGTCCTAAAGGAATAATTTTTCATTTCTAGTGAGCAGAATCTGCCAAGGAAGGGAGTGGGACAGGGGAAAAGGTGTAGGAAGAGAAATGCAAAGTAAGTATCATAATACATAAGGGAGAGAAGTCAGGTGAGACATTCTGGGACATTGAGGCAAAGACCAGCTATTCTATCATATAAACTCGAGAAAAGTACAGAGATAGAAACACTTGTTTATGTGGAGAGTGGAAAAAAAATCCATGCTGGATGGGGAACTGATTTTATTTTGTTCATCAGCTGCTTTATTCTTCCACGAACATGAAGCACATGATTATGAGCAGAACTTTCCAGTTTGCCATACCTTTCTCACAGTAAGGTTCCCCATCCTCCATATGAAACAGGCTATTCCCAAATGGCATCTTACAAGCAGCACAGACAAAGCAACTTGTGTGCCAAGTCTGTCTTAGGGCATGCATCACTTCCTGTAAAACAAGCAAACAAACAAAAATCTCTAGCAGAAGAGCAAGCCCTGCAACAACCTACTGGAGAACTAACACAAGGCAGAGATGCTCTAAATTCTTCCCTTCTTTATCAGCTTATTCCCTTCCTCAAAAGAAAGAATTATGACAGAAATTGGGCTCCTTTTGGAAAGAAAGAGGAAATAGGACTGCAAACTTTCTAGAACAATGTATTTGCCAAAATGAAACAATATGGTTCAGCCAGCTGTTTGTATCAACATGCCCAGTCGGTGTTGCAGGAGAGATTCTGCACAAAGATTCTGATTATTTTCTCTTTTGTTTTGTCACGACTAGTACGAACTCTTCAGTGCAAGAGTATGATTTGTTAAATAAATTTTAAAGAGTGATTTTCTCTCTAAGACCAAGAATAAGTGATTTAAGTCTGTTGTTTCAAAACAGTTTCGATAATGTAGCAATTTCTTTATGCTTCTTACAAGAATGATTCACAAACTAATGTGAAAATCTAAAAAAAAAAAAAATTCTTAGATTTTAACTTATGTAAACTTAGTAAAAATGAGCCTGTGTGTCTGTTCCTAGACCATGTGTTTAGCCCCAAAAACCCTAATTCTGTGCAACTGATGTTCTCTTAAACAGAGCATCTAGATTTTATCAGCTTCTGACTTCTGTATGGATCTCTATTACTGCTTCATTCTTTTGTCATACAGAAGCCTTCTAAGCCCCAAAGCTGCTGTACTGAGCTCTAATGCACAGTTACCTGCTAATTTGTCAATTTTACATGTGCCCAGGATGATGTTTGACAGTGTATCTCTGTCAAACAGCCCAGATTTCAAAGGACCAGCTGTGTAACTGGTGTAAATTAACTTTGTTAACTTCAGTGAAAGAGCTCTGATTTATACCAGCTGAGAATCTCCATCCTATTTTTTGCTGCTTCCAATTATATACATAGAGTCTGATTCTCTTCTAAAGATTATTTTTAATGCCCATTGATTATGACAAAATGGATTGAAGTCCTCTTCCATGCTTTTAATCCAGTGAATAGGCAAAATACTCTAATTTAGGTTTGCCATACATCTTATTAGAGAATCACCGTTTGAGATTCATTAACTTCTGTTACCGTTTGCAAAACAACTCTCACTGATAAATAGGTTTGGATCCATTTATGAACATCAGTGAAGTAAGAAGCAAAAAATAGCTTGAGAAATCTTAATAATATAAATAGAGGCAGCTGGCATCTTTGCTGCTTTCCTGATGAAAATCCATAATGGGAAACTGCTTTGTGCCAGCATTCATTAGGTAACTTAAGTCAGTACTCTGCTGTAAAATTACTCCTACTGCTGCAGTAGCAAACGAGACTTGGTTTGGTTGGAGCCAGAGCTTCACCATCAATGTCTGATGCTGCCATCCCTAATTGACAATTGCAGAGAAGAGCATCTAGTCTGTCAATGCAAACAGTTAGACAGATGTCAAAGGTGACAGCTAAGCGGTGAAAGACCAGTGTGGTACTCCTGGCTTCCTCATTTAAGAGGACATGTCATATATTCACTACAACTGCATGTCCAAATACACTGCTAAAATTATCTCATGGTATTCCAACCTCATCACCATCTAAGCTACATGGAGAGCAAATTTAGTTGTATATTTACTTGTACATGAGTACTTTAGCACAAAAATGGCATGTATTTTTGGTTTTCTGGAATTCAGTCTTTGTATTTGTTCTGTATTTTCTTAACTATAAAAAGCCAGCTGTGTTGGTAACTACCAGTGAGGTGCATTGAGAGCAATGAGCCTCCTCCCAACATCACTGACTTCTCCAATGAAATATTGACTAAGCCCTGTGTAAGAAATAAAAACCCAGTTCAAATCTCTTACTATAAATATAAGGAACAGAGGGATAAAAGTAACACAGTGTGTATCAGATAGCAAAAAACTACCCAGAAAGTGTTTCTTATTTTACACTCAGTGAGATGGTAACTGCATTACATATTCTATGAGTTGAATAAACTACAGAAACATCCAAGAGTTCAGATAGATAAAAATTATTATAAAATAATATGTTTCTCATTCTGAAATAATCAACAAGCTGGGAAATAATTCTTAAAAAGGAGAAAATAATAAAATATCTACATTCCTTGCTTACAGTCCAAACTATTTCACTACTTCAGTGATCCATGCAGGTGGAGAAAAGGTTAATGTTGCTTTCTTACCCCCATGATCTTAGTGTGGCACCTGGAACAGGTTGGTGCAAAGAACTGTTCATAGCAGCGCTCACAGTACACACTATTCTGCTCCTCCACAAAGCACATATCAGCCAAGGATGTCTTGCAGTAAGCACAGTTGAATTCTTCTGGGTGCCAAGAGCGACCCATGGCTACCAGGAAAGGACCTCTGCAAACAATCATAGTTATCTTATTTGTATTGCAAAAAGACTGGAAGACCCTGAGTGCAAACCCACCTTGTCAGACACCACATACATGTGTAAGAAGCATTCTACCTGAACCATGAGGTGCACATTAAAAACATCCAGAAGCCTGAACAGAAATGGTCTTTTTCAAGATCATTACTCAAATACTCAAATGTTGTTAAAACATTTCATTACTGCTTGCTCACATACACTGGATTTACAGACAACTATTGGAAAAATCATCAATTGTTTTCATATCTGCATAGCTATAACAGGCCTTTGTAAGCAGCTGCAAAGACAACAGGAAAAGGCCAAGGGTTGCAACATAGAAGATAATGCTACTATTTGAAAGCATCAAATAACAAGCAACTTTCTAGACCTAGACACCCACACACCTCACAATAGCTCCAAAAGTCTCCTGCCTTGTTTTCATCCCAGAGTATTGCATGTAGCATGTTCTGGAAATGCCAGACTATCAGATGACAACTTGCTGTTTCATTATGTGGAAGACACATTAAATTCGTTTTGGTGATTGACTCTTGATTGTAGTTAGATATAGAGATTATTACTGGAGTATTTCCATTTCAGAATACATAAAGGGCAATAATCAGCATTTCCACATCACCAAACTAGCTCCTTTTAGTGGGGAAGACTGTCATTAAACATGGATTACTTAAAGTTGGATAGCAGTCCACAGGCTAACAGTAGGCACTGGTCCAGCACAATGAATTGGGAGAGGAGAAGGGAGAGGCATGCTATGAATCACTGGTAATAGAGTGTAGGCATTATCTTTCTCCAGACACAAAAGCAACAATTACATTTGGCTGCTGTTCCAAAATGATGCCTTGTTCCTTTTCTGTCTGTAATCCCCCCTCTCTGGCCCCAGCCCCCCAACTCTCCTAATTAAGTTGCACAAACCTCCTTCAAAGGGTTACCTTAGGACCAGAAACCTGTTTAAAAAACAAGCAGTGATTTGCCACAGCATCCAGGAGACCAACAATTAGCATGTATAACTTTGCAGTGATAAAAAGTGAACCGCGCAATAACAAAATGAGCTCTGGAAATGTTAAATTAATGAGGCAGACAACAGACATCCCTGCTGGGTAATTTAACAGAGTCTTAGGCTCTGGTACTGTATATTAATGCACAATAACCAGTCTCTCTGATATTTTTTTTTTCTGCTTCATCCCTCTTGAAGACCTCATGCTCTTACCGAATGATGCTGTTGCAGTGCCCACAGAGAGGAGTTCGGCTGCTGGCTGGGAAACGCTCAGCCCTCTGAACTGTTCCCCGGGCTATTGGAGGCTGGGAAGAAGTTGGAACTGGAGATGGGTAAGCACAGGTTGAGGCAGGAGATGGCACTGGAGCACCCCTTGGTAGGATGTGCTTTGTGACAGTGGTGGTGGATTTTCCAGGTGCAAATTTCTGGGAAAAGGAGTCATCTGTTACCCAGGGAGGGCGACTTGCAGGCTCCGTGTTGGCTGGGGTGTAGGAATGAACTGGTGCTGGTGCTGGTGCTGTTTTAAGTATCCCAAAAGAAACCAAGAAGTATTTTAAAGTCTTTTTCTTCTGATGGCAATACAGCAATACTTACCAAAGGGTACTCCACGACACACAAAAAGTAAAAGCTTCAGATGATACCTAATTACTGTCTGTTCCATTATTGCTCATTTATTCTGGAGTGAAGCCCAGGATATCAGCACAATTAGTGACTTTTAATCCACATGCATCACAGAAGTCATTGCCTACTGGCTTTTACAGATTTTATGGAGACCATTTTCAAGGTCATCTCTTCATTTTCTAGTAGGAATGGATATGACAATTCTGTGTTAATTTTGAAGACTGCCATATAATCTGTTTAAGATAGGTTAAAAACAGAAAGGCCAGATCATATAATAAAGTTTTAGATGGAATTCCTCAGAATTTCCATAAGTTATGATTAATTTTTGGTCTCATTATATTCATTCAAATGCAACGTTTTCTATAGATGTCACTGTTATCTATCATTTGTGGGTTTATTCCTCGGTTTCTGAAGAAAAACAGGCTCACACAGGGAACACAGAGATAGAGAGCACTGGAAGCAATATTGAGGGAGCCAATTCAGCTCACATGACCAGCAAGACAAAGCCAACAGCACTTAGAGGAAGGCCAGACTTCGGGTTATGACTGATCTCAGTTCAGTTCTTGGCTCTGCCACAGACTTCCTGTATAACTTTGAGCAAAGTGTAGTATCTCCGTGTCTCAGTTCCTGTGTATAAAATAGAATATTACACTTTCTTTTTTCTACCCTTTGACTATCAGATAAAATCTTCAGTGCAGACTGCCTCTTGTGTTTGTGTGCACCAGGCTCTAATCTTGGGTGGAGCTTTATCATGTAAAAATAAGCAGGAGCTACAGCCTGCACATACCGACAAGTTTTCCCATTGCCCTGCTCTGTTTAAAACATCAGATCGCGCATTATGTAGGACTGAAGTTACTGCCAAGTACAGGAGCACTAAAAGCAGTTTTCCTTTGCAAGGAAAACAAAGTGAATGGTTGAAAAGAATCTTGGACAGCTGAAGTGTTTTGCCCAAATGAGAGAGCACAGATCCAGGAACAGAAGCCAGTTCTGCAGCAGTCCAGGCAGACATTCTGCATAAGAGATCCCAGCGCCAATAAAATGATGACCAAATACAACATGGATAGTTTTAAGGGGCTTGCAGTTAGAAAGAGTGCTGAGTGTAACATGGATCTTTCTGAATAATTAAGTGAGATACTAAGTGGTGAGATTATGTTCTACTTAACACTCCTCCCTTAGCCCACACCCTGCTACACGGAATAACTTGCACTGGTTATTGGCAATTTGCAGGTGCTTAAATTGCATATATATATCAATGCACTGCAATCACCATCATGATCTTCTTTTTATCGAGGTCAGAGTTGAATCTAATGCATTTTCTTGATAAAACTTTCTTATTCTACAGTATCAACAAGTTTCTGCTTCAAAAACCATATCCCACCTTAGCTTGAGGCTTCCTATTTTTTTTTTACTTGGAAATGGTAAACAGTGTTTAAAGATTTCAGAACAGAGTTTATATGCAATCTTTTTAGATCCTGAGGCTGTTGCTATTTATGTATTACGGCATTAAGATAGGCAAAATTAGAAGGTAATATTTCATCTCTAATTGGTGAGTTCAAAAGGATCCCACCTATGAGCCTCTCTAATTAAATAAGGTGACTTCTAGCTCACTTCATTTTGTGAAAGGATTCTCCCTCCCCTAAAAGTGAGCTGTGGTTCATGCAGAGGATGGCCGTGTATCCCACAGAGGGCCTAACAAAATGGGCAGATATTCAAACCCAGAGTTCCAGAAAGGAAGAACAAATGCAGTCCAGGTACCATTTTTAGGATGTCTTTTTGTATTATTGTCTTTACTAAATTCAGCTTACAGGCTCTTTGTCATTTTTTTCTTCCTTAATGTCACAGTGTTGGTGTTCTATTTTTCCAGTTTGTTTATTCCAATCAATGCAGACGGAATATGATTTATCTGGGTTCAGGTTAATCTAGACCCCTTTCAAGGATAACCACTGGGGAAAAGTCTTTGTCTTTCATTCTCTCTACCTTCTATTTACTCTGTCTTTTCTACTTGCTGTGGTAAAATAAAGCAACCAAATAGGATTTTTTTTCCAGTTACTGAAAGAAAGTACCAGAGGAATTAATGCAAAATGACAAATGTTGGGTGTTTGCAACTGCTCTGAGTTCCCTTTTCAGCTGTTGTAATTTAATTTTACAGGCTTGATTTCTTATAATACATTTTCTTCCCGTGAACAAGCTGCAACTAGTATTGATTTAAAATAGTGTCATTGCAATGTATTAGAAAGATTTCACTTACTTTTGAGATTTTGGCAGTTGTTATTAAGAAGGCATTATTATCTTATTATCTTAGAACTATATCCCTAAGCTTATATGATCAACTTTTTTGTTTTAGTAGCTACTGCCATATACATTCATCTAGCCTGTTTATGTATTTCCAAGTCTTTCAGCATATATGCAGCAGAAAAAAGGGACTGTTTGCTGCTGGAAAAGTACTAAGATTCAGTATATCAGAGAATATATTCTTAAAATTTCAGTATTGCATGAGCTGACCACTACCTGATAAAAAATTAATACTTTAGAAAATTCAGTGAACTAACCTCTATCACCCTGTTTCTCTCACGCCTCAGATTCTCTTAGAGAAGGAAAGAATAAATGGGATTATTTTTATCCTCAGAGAATGGCAGGAGAAGAGGTCTCTTAACAGCAGCAGGAACAAGCCAATTCCTTGCTTCTGGGGAATTTGGAATTCTCCCCATCAATGTAGTATCAATGGCTATTTTCCCTCCAGCCAAAAAGGTATGTTACCAAAGACTCATTGAGTAAAGATTTATGTAGTCTCAAATGCTTTAGTCATAGACCAGCTCACACTGTGAGAACAATTTTCCTTTTTTTTTTTCTTTGTTAGTAGATGACATAAGTTATTCTTTATTATTTGCAGTAACAAATTAAATTCATAACCACAACTGATTTGGCTTGTTCTAGACTTAGTGGCCACATCCTTGAAGCTCAAAGTTTTCCTGTACACTGTTACAGAATACAGTAGATGACAGACAAAGCAGATGATGCTTTATAAGGAGACACTATTCTTATTCAGAAGAATTAAAAATGAAATTATATGTAGGCTGCTGTTTTAGTAGTGAAGGTGCTTAGGCTTCAGTGTAAAGTTCATTAAGGTTTGTGGTAATCCATCTACCAATTTCTAAAGGAGCAGATCAGGCCTTTATGCTTGACCACTTTGCATACTCGAGTGGTCCTATTTGGACGTGGGGATTTAAAAGGAAAGATCTGCTTTCTGACACTTAATATCATGTTGCATCGTGACACAAAACTGGCATTTGAGTTCCCTGGAATATGAGAAAGAGCTATCCCAGTCTGGGAAAGTGTAGGGGAAAGGAATACACAGGGATACCCTGCCATCTAGTGGTCCTTGTTCAGATGAGACGTCTGTGCGCCTTTTAAAAATGAAATTTTAAAGGGTTATGAAATTTAGGGAAAAGATTTTAGTGTTCACAGCTTTCCCTGTAGGAAGAAAACAAAGATTTTTAGCAGCAGAAAATTCCCACGTGAGTTAGGTTAGTTAAAGTTTAGACCTCCTGATTACTCCCATCTGAGCCAGATACTCAATGCAGTTTCATTTTGAGGTTTGTTTCAGTGTAAACAAGATTTAGCCTTTTTATGTTTGTTTGTTTTTTTTTTTCCAATCTGAGACAGATTAAAAGAGTCTTGTAAATCCTCTTAATGACTAAATCAGGTTTCTTCATATTGCATATATGGGCCTGTTGGTAGGTGTTGTAATCTGGAAGTTGGTGCCCCACATTTTAAGGGAAGCCGGTCATGTCACTCCCATGGACACTGACGGCTGCATAAAGACATTTCCACTTCTAATTTCTACACTGCAAATTCTCCCAGCAACCTCCACTATTTCAGCCTTTTCACACAGTGGATTCACAAAAATAGATGTCATTTGTTAAAGTGAGAGTGCAGTTATTGCAAAAGCCTGAGTTTGCACTTAGGAAGAAGAAGGTGTATTTTCTGACATATGACATAAATTGAGAGAACAGCTAGTCCTCTCAGATTGGGGTTGCATTTTACATTGCAGAACAGAATTTATATGCGTTGACAAAGCTGGGTGAGGAAGTTTTCTAACTGTCTTGATGGTTTGTTTCTAAGTACTATTGATCTTTCAGGTCTGTGGCAGGAAATGCCATTTTCTCCATTTCTTCCCAAGTGGCAATTTCCCATTTGCTCAGGACCGCAACTGTCTCCAAGGCCAACTCATGTTCCAAAACCAATGTGAAGTGCTACTACATCAAATATATAAAACTTAAAAAAGATGTCAAAACAAACCCCAAATATCTTCAGTAAAATATCTGTCTGGAATCTCTTTTGTACCTGAGTCACAGAATCACAGAATATTCAAAGTTGGAAGGGACCCACAGTGACCTTGGTGTTCACTTATGAAAGTATTTCAGAATCCTTCACTGGATATTTCAAACTCCTGAACAATACAGGGAGACTTACACTTTCTTTCTCTGCCACCTACTTAAGCTTTTATTAGGAGGCAATAGGGCTCAAAATCAGCAATATAAGGAACTTCAAAGAAAAATCAGCAATGTAAGGAAGTGCAAAGAAGATGCCCAACCCAGGGGAAAACAAAAGGATTGCCTCTTATTCCAAGTTGAATTCAACAGCCAGCTTTTTCTTTAACAGATACAGCTAATAATTGCAAATAGCTGCAGATTTATTTCTGTGGCAGGTCTGTATATTGAGAACTGGAGTTCATACTTCCCCCAAACGAACACACAGCTTAGCATCAATCAGTGTATTTAGGAGATATTTTGACTTGCCACAGTTTTTGCATTATTGAAATAAATCCTGTGTCTTCATCTTTCCTTTTACAAGTCAAAAATAGTAACATTTGCTTTCAGTGAGAACATGGTATATGCTGACACACTTAACCAAAAGCAAATGAGGAAAAACTGAAAGTTTATTTACTTGGAGATCCTTAAATAGCTTATGATAGCTCTTTTCCCCCCTTTATGTCTCAAATATAAAGATCAATCAATTGATTTGTCTGGCTGCTTTATGTCTAAGTAAAATTTCTACATTTGTTTAATTTCAGTAGATCCAGAAATAGACATTACAGAAGACAGAGTTTAAGACTCTTAGAATTCTTGGCCTTTTCATATTTACTTGACTGTCAAAATATAAATCAACTTTTTAGTTCTCTTGCTAAGAACAGAAAAACCTTAATTTGAAACAGAACTGTATTTAGACTTATATCACTGCCTCATTTAATTTGTTCATTTTGAAGGTTCACATTTTGGTCATCAATGGCTTTAGAGGTTCACTCCATTTGTAACACATTAATAAAAAGGAAATTAAAATAATATCAAGGAGCATATTTTCCACATGAATGACTAACCAAATATATTCCTTCAGTTACTAGACCTCTGGAAAATGGAAGCATAGCATTATGAAGTACATTAATACCTTATTCTTTATCTCAAATGTAAGCCTTAGTTTGAGGAGTTCAATATATGGCCTTATCTATTTTGCAAATACATTCTACTCAAGCTAATTCCACTTATTTTATCTTATTCCTAAATTGTCCATTCTTAAGCTATTTTATCTACTCTGTAGTGTCACTGGGCTCCTAACTGTGTTATTTTCCAGTTGTATTTCTTCTCAAAAATCAGGCTACACATATTTTATCACAGACTTTTCCCTTGCTTTCATTCTTTCTCCTCCATTTGTTCTACATTTTACCTCTGAAGCAGAATACAAATACAACAAAATCCTCGACCTTCAGATAATTTGAACCAAAACTAGCAGCTAGCAGCATTTAGTTCCATGTTTATAAATATTTTCTGATGCATCTGTGTCCTATTGCAAAATGTGCATTCTTTGCATTTTCTTTCTCTGAAAGAAATGTGTGTGCATTTTTTTTCTGGATCCTTTCAGTACTTTGAAGGCACCTTACCTGGCTGGTAGACAGAGGGCTTTATGCTGGCAGTAGTAACAACTCTTGGTTTTGAAGTACCAGAAGCAGCAGGACTTTCACCGTAGCTTCCAGAAACTGGTATTGGTGTATATGACTGGCTTGTGTTTCTAAAAGCAAAATGTAGGTGTGAACAACTTTATAAACAGTAAAAGTTACTGATAAAGAAGTAACAGATCTGGTAGCGTCCAAAGCACTCCAAGAGGAACAGTCTGTGAGAGCTACAGAGAGAATACTTTGAGATTCATCAGTCTTTATCATTGCTAAGAAAGGCTGGGACAATTGTATTAGTTGAATAAGGATTTTAAATAATGCCAATTTGCTCTTGCTGACACAGAAAATAACTTACTGAGGGAATATGACAAATTTGGAACTCTCAGTTTAACAAGGGATCAGACTTCAGGAACCTGCATACAAAATGTCTGTTTTCTGTTCCTCTACAAACAAAAAGGCCTGGTCTTGTATAAGATAAATCAATGAGAGATATCTTGACTTAAAAATACACTGGCTCTAACTATATGTGTTGCACTCCTTTCAAAAATATCGTAGTGACCTTTAAAAAACATTTCTAAAACCAATTCTTTCCCCCATTTAGACTGAAACCACAATTTACATTAATTTTCCTAATGTTCAGGTTCAGCCTACCCAAAAAACACGTGATAGGCAATATTATGATGCAATTTCTGCATTCCTAGATTAAAAACATTTGCTCAGAATTCCAAACATCCATAAGAAATAGTTCTTCTCTATTTCATGGCTTGAATGGCGATTCTCAGTTTGATTATAATAACACATTGAAATATATCCCTCTTCTATTTGCCTTGGGATGATTCTGTTTGTACTGTCTGTGCTTCATAGACCACTAAAAGAGCATCACAATCAAAGCAAGCAAGAGAGAAGAAAGAAGTACAAGGAGGGGAAGCAACAGATACCCAGATGTGTGCAGTAAGAAGAACCATTCACTACAGAACATCGCTCTTACTCACCCCAAAACCACAGTTTTACTTTCTTTTTCCCTTCAGTTTCTCTCTGTGTGAACCACATCCCTATACATTTGTGCTGACAGTTTAGGAGTTATTTACACAGTGGTTTTGTCTATAGGGAAATATTTGTCAGCACCTGAAAACAAGTGTCCAGCTTTGCCAGACTCCACCTTCACTTTTGCTTTCTTTAACAGTGGAAACAGATGCCACCTGGAGAAAACATGTTATAATTTTATGTGGCAAACCCAGTAAATTTCCTCCAGTACTGGTAAAACCCAAACATTCTGACAAACGGAAACTTCTGATTTTTAATTTTGAACAAAATAAACCTATGCTCACAACGTAGCTCTTTGCTGCTCTGACAGTGCTGCTACTATAGATCTAGTTTGCACAGCATTGCTGCCTCAGGCTAATTTATTTTGTCTATTTAGCAAGAACTAGAAACTTAGCTATTGCTACAATGGCAATAGTTAATTATTTCTGTACCTACTCTAGGGCTTAGGGCTGGATTTGGGTCCTCTATACCATGAGTGAACAGGAATCTCCAAGATAAACTATTTTAGGGGGTTTGTATTCACTGTAAGTTCTGTTGTGAATTGTGCTGTGATTTTGTAACAGCCAAAGCTGTTGTAAGCACAGTAATACTCTTTATGTTCCCTTCTTACCATCTATTTCCTGTTGCTCCCTCCCCATCTGTGGTACCTAAGAACACACTGTACTCAGGGTCAGGGGACACAGGGTCATTGCTCCTACCATAGCACAGACAGGGAGATGTACACTGCAGGCACACTGGATCCACACACAGCTTTCAAAATGCCATTACCTTAACACACTATCTAAAGAATTTTCCTTGGTTTAAAATCTACTATTCAAGGTAAACCAGACAGATCAGTATTTACAATGTGGATTAAAAGATTTTAAATCACGTGTCATACAGCCTTAATCTGAAGATGTCATACAGTCAGGAAAGTCTACTCCCAAATGCACAGGTCCATTGGTTGGAAAGACTCATTTGACTCTCCTTTAGTGCACAAAATACATAAAGAAGTTCTGAGCCAGATCAGTGATATTTAGACTGTCATGAAGAAGAAGGGTTATTCAAAATTAAAGTGTTTCCCAAATGTAATAGCATAGTGAAACCATGCCACTGGATTTCCTTCTATGGTCAAGAGAAATGAAGTTGAAAAACAAAACCACACACAAACACCCGCGCATTCATAGTACCAAAATCATAGCAAAATTAAAAGAAGTATTAAACTCTTTTAGATGTTTATGATGCATATTAAATACAGTAAGAAAGATAAAAAGGCTTGTCAAAGAGAAATAAAGTGTTACACTACATCATTAAGGGTTTTAGTGAAGTTAAAAGATTTTTCAGAATTTTTGCTGAAGAGAAGGAAACGGCGTGTGATTAAAAGAAAGAAGGAAATTAAGAAAAAATAAAAAGATGTCCTAAGGACCAAAGATGCTTTAATGGATCAGGAAGCACTGGCATCTTGAAAAGCAGTGGAAGCAACCTTACTGAATTTATCTGTAGCAGTCAATGGCAGGTGACAGGCAGCGAATTAAATACCGGCTCTGAAAACTATTAGTTGTCAGAAAAAGAAAGAGTAAATTTCTACACAGATCATTTTTATGTTAACGCTTTACTAGATGCTTACTAGCAGCAATAAACTGGTTTGTTAAGTGCTTTTAAGGTAGAGTAGCTGCACAAAATATTTTTATACCTCTTCTGTGACTGGTAGCTGATGGAGGTGGAAGAATGCCGGTTGAAACTAAAATGAGACAAAAGTTGTATTTGAAAAAATACACAAAAAAATTTGGGATATCTTCTCCTACCATAAATTTCTTATGAATAAGAGGTACTCTTAAGTGCTAAAGTAAACAACATGTACATATTTATATGAATAAGAGGTGCTCTTAAGTGCTAAAGAAACCAACATGTACATATTTATAATCATATAAGATCAGTATTACATTACATTTTGTTTTCTCATTTAAAGCTAGGAATCACAGTGAGACCTGAATAATGGTAACATAAGTAAAGGAGGTGAGTATATTGCTCCCTAAGCCACTCTCATCAGGTCTGCTTGTTATTTGGTTGTGGAATTTCAGTTCAACCACTGGACTGTTGGATTTGACATTCACCATTTATTTGTATTAGCAAAAAAAAATAAGTATGAAGGGTTTTTTGTCATTGTCATAAGCTTAAATTGCAGCAAATCTTAGAAGCAAACCTTGAATGAACTAAAGGCCAAAGACAGGTAAGTTTCCAGCTTATGAGGCACCTGGGAGAACCCCATGGAAAGGACAGGCTGGAGTAGCTGAAGCAAAAACCCATCATGTTCAACTTTGCCCTTGCAGAACCATTCTACTGTTACAGAGTTGTAGGTAAACAGGTAGATTTTTTTTTCTTGGGGAAACAGCATCATTTCAGAACATAAATGAGTCATTTACGCAAATACAGGAAGTACTTAAAGGAAGTTTGGTGTGAGAAACAAGAGGATTCAGAATGAACTCAGCTCCTGTCTAAGTGCGGAGCAGTGCATGGCATCAACTCCATCCCACGAGAGCACAGCCCACATTTGCCAGAATTACCAGAAGCCTATCACATGTCAGTTATTTTTCTAACTTCTGGGGAAGTTTTTCTTCCCTTTACCATGGATACAGTGCTTGGATTAAAATCCCAGGATCAGAAGCTGTACCTTCCTTAAAACCATAATCGTAACTCTTTCCACTGTTTCTCCTGGTTTTGTATTCCCAGAATGCTGTCTCATGAGGTGCCCTGCTTCAACCCTCCAGATGGAATAACAGATGCATACAGAGCTTCAAGTTTATTTAAAACTCTCCTGCTATGCTTTGTTCTTTGTAAGCAAGATCACAAGTGAAAGTCAGATAACATTTCAGATGTAAGAGTAACACAGTCAGTTAAGGATTAATGACTTATTCAAACATTCCTCTTCAGGAGCATTAGAAAGATTTTACTCAGGTTAGGTGTTATGCATATGGCTTTGCTCACAGAAGTAAAATTACTACAGAACTGGATCTACCAAAGTTTGAAATCATATTCAAATACTTAAGGATATTAAGATATCAAGAAATCCTTCTGCATTTTCTTTGTGGATCTTTTTCGGCCATCTAGAAGGAAAAAAACCCAACCCAAACACTGGAACAATGGTGGTAAAATCTCAGCCTCATCTTCCTGAGAATATTTTACAGGATGGGGACAGTGTTGTAACTAAGGTCATCCATATTTTATTCTGGAATAAAATTATATGAAATGCTCAGTGCTTCTCTGGTTGTCAAGTTGAAACTGGATTTTTAAGTCCATATTTTGGTATGCTAAAGCACTGTTTAATTTCTAAATGAACACTATCAGATGCCCAAAAATTTGACTTACATTATTTAGAAGCCAGTTTTGGTCTCTTATGTTTGAATACACTAGCTAGAACATACAACCGTTTTTAAAACAAACATGGAAGTAGTACACAAAGATAAAGAACCTATTTCAGCTGCAACACAGCCCTCCAAAACCAACCAACCAAACTGAGTTTGCTCCTTGTACCTGATAATCAGGGAACCAAATTTTTACAGGCCCTACAAGTTTCTGATTTGCCTTTATGTCCCAAGGCTTGCTGAAGCTCAGACAGGAACACGTGCCTGTTGGTAACAGTTTGAAGTGTATGTCAGCATCAAACCTTGTGTCATCCATTGGCAGTAGGATTTCAGGGCAGCAGCACATGAAGTTGATGTGCTGTAGATCTGAAGTCTTTGACTTAGAACATTGCCAGGCACAAGCAAGAGGTTTTAGTAGTCCGATTAAAGCATTGCTTTTTCAAAAGGACAGCAATTTTTCATAGATTCACAGAATCTTTCAGGTTGCAAGAGAGCTCAGGAAGAGTCTTATCTAACCTCCTGCTGGAAGCAAGGCCAGCTCTGAGGTCAGATGAGGTTGCTCCATGTTTTATCCAGTGATGTCTTGACAACCTTCAAGAATGGAGACACACAGCCTCCCCAGACAACCCATTTCCTTTCAAAGGGGCAGGAAAGGGGAAAATGGTCCATGCCTATCTAATGCAGGAAATTTACTTCCAATTCAAATGTCTTAATATCTCAAGGTGATCTTTTTATCCTCATGACTCGTTAAAATTGTGTTTCACACTGATTAGTCCATATTGATACATAAACACAAATGAATTTATAGTTTTAAGGCCTCACACTGCTTCCCTTCTCCCCATTAAATGGATATGAAATTAAAGGGAAATGAAAAACGCTCAATCAAGAAATAGTACTACATTAGCTCTAAGATAGTCATGCAAGGAGTGACAGCAAATACTGGCTATCTTTATATTAATTTATTAGCTATTTATATGTAAATTATACCTAGTGGTTGCTTAACTTGTCCCTGCCTATTACAGGGGTATTGAAACTGGATGATCTTTAAAGGTCCCTCTTAGGCCAAACCTTTCTATGATTCTGTGATTTCCAAGACAGCAATGAAAACATAGCTTTTATGGAAGATTTATAGAGGTCCTAAGATGTAGAGTGGTGAAATGTGAATGGGTGTGCTCTGTCTGGCCAGAGTAGTCACCAAAGCTTCAATTTATTTCATCTTCTGACTGATGGATACATTTCAGTCTTCAGCTGAGAGCAACCCTAAGATCAAGTGTTTCCTGTAGCTCAGAAGAAATAATAGGTTTTGCATGCCAGTGTTTAGTCAAGCTCGAATATGCACTGTTATTAATGCTTTGAAAGCAAGGGACCTTACCTGAGTATAAGAGGCTTTTAACTGCCTCCTACAACAACTATGTAGAACCCTCTTTTCACAGAGATATGTGATGATTCCAACTGACTAAAAGAGATTTGTTAGTAAAGCAAACAGTGGATTAAATACTTCTGGTGACATTTAAGAGTCTAATTGCACCAGAAGATTGAACGAAAAAGCGTTAGGTATTACTTCTGAAAAGCATAGCTACTCTCCTTTGTGACAAGAAACATGGCAAGAGCAAATGGCCTCAAGTTGGCCAGGGGAGGTTTAGGTTGGGTATTAGGAAAAAAATTTCTTCACTAAAATGTCTATCAAGCATTGGAACAGGTTGCTCAGGGAAGTGGTGGAGTCACCAGCCCTGGAGGTATTTAAAAGATGTATAGATGTGGCACTTAGGGATGTGGTTTAGTGGTGGACTTGGTAGTGCTGGGTTAACAGTTGGATTTGATCTTAGAAGTTCTTAAACAATTCTATGATTCTCATTATGTAAAGATTAGGTCCTTGTAATGGATACCTCTAAATAGCTCATCACTTTGGAATTTTGAAAGTTCATGCATAAAACTAGAAGTCAATGGCAATAAACACCCCTGCATCTGTTTTACCTTCTATTCCCAGTAACATTCTGGTGACATTCACCAGCTCCTTGAAACTAGTTATGATTAGTGTACTTCCACTCAAATAAATGGAATTACATCAGCAGTTAATTTTATTTCTTACGTTTTATTAGCTCCATACAGGAATTACTTCCCCTATGTAATTCCCATGGCTGTAAACAGACAGGTTTACATTCTAAAACTGAAAACTCTCATGTTGTGTTCTGTAGCTGTTTCATTTTTGCATTGGTTTCAGTGATGTGAAGCCAACCAAACTGCTTTCAAGTACTACCTATGCACAGCACTGGACTGCCATTTTCTGTGTTTTTTCTGAGAAAGATCGTTATACTTCTTGATGTGAAGCCATCAAACTTGCACACTGTGTTCATTCCAAACATCCCCTTTGGGTGATTCCTAACTACCTTCTTATGTAAAGATAAGAGGTACGTGGATCATTACAATCTCAAAAGTATTGCTAGTTTTTTGTTATTTCTGAAGACTGTTCAAATGAATCCTAAAATCTGCTGTTTTCTCCTCTGTTAGTGTTGTCAAAGTGTTAATGAAAGCAGTGAAAAGGCTTAGAAGTGAGGCAGTACAGCAGCATCCTCTTTTTCTAGTGAGAGAAACTACCTTTCCCTGTCACTCGTCTTTCACTAGTCGTGATTAAGAGCATAATAAAAGGTTTGTGATCCCTGTGATCCTATGTTTTCACCAAGAAAAAAAAAAGGCCCATCATTCCCACCCAGTGTAACTAGACAAATACTTTGATTTTAGGATGGCAAAAGCAGCACAAACCAACCAACTGAAACACCTTTGTTCCAAAAGAACCTTTTGGTCACATCTCCTATATCTAAAACTTAGTTGTTTCCCCTCTCGGTTTTCATGTGAAAGATAAGGAAGGAGGCTACTGATTCAAACACATCATGCTTCCAACAGTCTTTGCCAAGTCAATCTCTTAAGAAACTGAAAACCTTGAATCAGAGAGCATAATACAAATCAAACCAAATTAAGTTAAGAGAGCTTTACAGATATACCTAGACTGAGATGAGATAGCAGATGAAATAGTGGAAGCTGCTAATGACATGTTCTTGGACCCATGGAAAGGCTTAGGCTGTGAAAGAGAGCTGGGGGCTGCAAGTACTCTGCAGAAGACACAGTAAAAGCATGAAACATGAACAAAATGATTGAACAAGGACAAAAATCATGACATCACAACCAAGCTCTGTCAGAGTTCAGATACAGGAGGACTGCTGCATAGTTACCAGGAACAGGTTTTCTGTAGCATACATCTGCAGACTTACAGAATAGTACAACCAAGCACATTCCTACAGGACACAAGACAAAATGCACACATTATGTAAAAATCTTAAAACCAGACTCTACTGATAATTAAGAAAGACAATATTACAGGACAGGACTTTGTCAATGATACATGCTTTTATCTGCAAGATCTGAAGATGTTTGAGTCTGAATACAAGATAAAAATTTTAATATGCAAACAGTACCAGACAGAAGATTCTGATATTTAAAACAGAAGTAATTGGAATGATTAGTTTTGTAGAGGCATTTTTTTGTTTGAAGCATATACTAGTTAATCCATTTTCTTCATGCTACAATTTCAACTGAGGGATAAAAGTTACTTAAACCTTATCATTATTTCACGTGAAAGTGCCTTACAGCCCAGTTCTGAATTACAGCATAATACCTTATTCAAACCTCCTCTGCTGGTTGATTGATTTTCTTGCACTGGAATAAAAACACTGGATCCTGGTAGGTCACGATTAGGTAAAAACTGACCAAAGTGAGAAACTAAGTACTTGGTATACATACATAATGGAAGTCAACTAGCAAAAATTATCAAGAAGTAGAGCCAAGAGAACATTTCCAATTCCATTTACACACATTTAAGATGACTGGCTACAACTGAGGTCTTGGTTAAAGTAGTTTACATTACTGGAAGTGTGCTTTTCCTTGGATTTGTAAAGCATGCTAAAACATACATCTTTTCAGAATATTCATGTAGCAAACCCCAAAGATAAAAGAATAATATGCACCAAAGGAATTCACTCTTACTATCTCTAAAATTACTGTAACATAAGTGACAGCTGTATAAATCCCACAGGTTTCCTCACGTGATGTCTGACAGCTTTTAATATACAACTGTAACTCCCACTGTACTACAAGTGTTACAAGTGCTCACCTCCTTGAAACTCACTTCAGCTCTAAGGCTAATTCTCATTAGAGAAAAAGTATTAGATAAATCTAATAGAAACTACTTGACTTGACTTACAGAGCAAGTCAATCATCAAATGTCCACCATGTTTTATTGACATCTGCTATGATAGGTTGAGCTCAACCACGTGAGTAAATGACATTTTATAATTTTCCTTTTCATGTCCCACTGCAGAAAGACTATTAAAAGAACCTTCATTCACATTATTAAAAGAATCTCCATTCACTGTAACTATTATGAGGAATTGTTTTGGCTTTATTACAAGTGATGAAAAAACACTTCTAGTTTTAACCCTAGACTTGCTTTCTGAAAACAAAGTTATATTTTTGGGGCAGCATTATTTTGCAAATGCTTTGCAAACATGAACAACGTACCTCAAAATGAAAAAAAAATGCACCAAAATATATAAAAGCATATAAAACAGGTTACAGCTTTTCATACCACATTCTGAAGCGAAGAATGTGTATGCAGCATTTCCAGAGCCATATAGGGGGATAAAGCAGTGAAGCATTACCTTTGGAAGGAGGAGGAGAACGACTCCTGCACTACTGAGGTGCTTGCTGGTGGTGTCATCAGGCTGGCTGGATTTTGAGCAGCAGCAGCAGGCTGAGGTGCTGAAGCATGTGGTGCAGGAGCAGCAGAACTGGTAGACACCGGAGCATGCTCGACAGGGGTACTAATTAGACTTGAATTAAATAAAACAAGAAGCATCTTAAGAAGGCACACATTTAAATGTAGAGCACAAAACCTACTATGTTTGAACCTGCAAACATAGTAGCAGGCTGGGTTATTGAGGGAAAAGCACAATTATGCAAAGAAAAAAAAAAGACATTTGTTCAGCCTTTTCCGTTGTGCAGTTAAGACTGAAATGCAGTTTTGGTCCTGCTTGACTGAAATTTATCCCAGGTGTTACACAGCACTTTAGTCCTGCTCCCACTGAAGCCAGTGGTAGGAAATGTGGCATGGAAGACTTAAATGGTTGCAAAGAGCCTGTCACAAACTCTTTGAGCTCGGATAACTTTCATCCAATATTTACTCCTGGAACTGAAGTTTATATTAGCGTAAATTTTTTAATTAGATGAAGAAAAGCAATTTAAAGGATATTATCTCAGTCCTGTGCCAGCAGGTTTCCTGCAAATTCCGATAGTCTAGAAATCCAGTCAGCACAGTTTTCTGTTGGGTTTCATCAGTTTTGTGCAACCTGGGTAGTGGAAAAGGAGTCCCTTCGTCTCTGACCTGAATTCACCTTACATTACACCGCCCAACCCAAATAATAATGAGATGCCCTTTCAAACACAGAACAATATATAAAATACAAGGGGATGATGTAGCATAAAATTTTACTATGCTAGTTTTAAAACCACTTGGGTGATGAGCATGAGTTCTTATCCTTGTGGCCCTCTCGTACTATCGTGGCACAGATTACTTGGAGCAAAGTAATATTAATTTTCTTCATTTTTTCTTTATTTGATTGCAAATAAATGAATTGAAATGAATAATAATAATCTAGTCTGGTATCCTGTGGCCATTTTAGTAACCTACTGAACTACTAGTGTCTTTCATCACCCAGTGCTTGTGAACATACTTCAGCCTGAATTACTCATCTCTTACAGAGAGAAAAATGGCGCCAAGTTATCAGACAGCTTTGCAACATAGTTTAGTCAAAGTCATCCACTGCTAAGAAAACCAATCTTTTGGAAGGTTCAGTTTATTGTCTTCCATTAGCTCTTACATCAAATGAAAAAACCCCAAAATAAAATCACTGAAAACATTCAAGTTATTTGATGACTGTTTCACTGAACTTAATATCAACAGAATAATAATATTAATAATAGGTCCATTAATAATTTTCTTGCCAATAAACCTAATAAAAATAATTTAAAGTAATTTAAAATTTAAAAAGGAGAAATAAGAAAAGAGAAAAACTTCATTATTTTGTGTTTAGGCAGATTTTAGTGTGGATCTTATTAATTATTATCCACAGAACAAATAAGCCACTGAAAAATAACAAATTGCAACACTATTTTGGGGCAGAAACTTTGATGACAATATAAGCATATGTCCTGTAGGCATAAGGGACATTTTTCTTGATACTTCTTTAGTAGTTATCCAAATACATACTTTTTTTTTCTAAAATCAGAGCATTACTGTACATAGTTGTCTTGTCCATGAGCAGCGGCCTAAGAAAATAATGGATATATTTATACTTCTTTAGACCTAACTCATAAGTATATTGCCACATCTCTGCATTCTTACAAATCACTCCTATCAGGGTGATGGAATTCTGTGCTTCTCTTGCACAAGGTACAAAATGCCCCAAATACTCCTTCCTAAGCACAGTAAGTGTCAAATAACAGAAGAAAGCTTACAGTTCCACTACTGTTTCTCAGCCAACCTTAGCGCTCAAGCATTCTTTCTCTCAGCATTTTTTCCTTAGCAGATTTACCATCCATTGTGCAAATTTTCTCTGTTTTAGCCATTCTACCTCATATTTTCTTTTTGCTTCTCTCAAAAGTGCTAACTTGGCAAGTTACACTCCTGAGGACCCAGAGTGAGTGCTTGGTACTTCAGAATTTGTGACACCCCTTGTTCTTAAAGGGACTGTCCCATTTCACCTGTCCTTCTCTTCTTGTACGGCTCAGTAGTCTAATGATGGTGTCTTAATTATTTTCTGTTTGTTTAGCTGCAACAGAAGCGAGGTTGTTATAACCATACATTTCAAAGTAGAATGTAACCCGCAACAAAAGCAGAAAATCAGTATTTTCTCCCTTATGAATTTCATCTGCAATTATGCACATAAGAAATGAGGTCCTGAAAATACCCAGTTTGCAATTCTGGGTTTCAAATCATTACACCAAGTTTTGCAACAGTTTTGCAAAAGTTTGCCCATCGTAATATGCAGCTGAAATTCAGATCAGTTTTCCCATCTTGATGCATTTTATGATGCAAATTCTTCCAATTAACAAATAGACTATCAATTACAAAGCCTGTGCAGCAGAGTAGCTGAATATTACCCATCACAACTATGGGTCACAGGAGAGTCTGTTACTGAGTTTCAATATCCACAGGATTTTTTTTTCCCCTGTGCCACAGTGGGTACTGGAATTTTCCCATTAAAAGGTGTGGAGTCACAATTTAGTACTTACATGTCTTTGATCAGGCAAACAGGAAAGGAGTGAAACTATGCTGTACATAAAAATGGAACTTCGTATATGTCTTAAAAACAAACACAAACTAGGATTCCACCTATTTTGTCTATTTGCACTGATGTCAAAGGGAATTTGCTACAGATTTCGATAGATTCGCGACTTCCTACTTTGAAGAGAAGAAACCAGTGAACTTACTTAATTGTAACAATCTCCAAAACATTAATCAAAATACATATTCAGTGATATATATTGAAAAGAAAGTAAAAAAAAACCCAAAAACCTGTGTTTGAGGACAAGGACCTGTATGGAGACAGATTTGAACGGAACAACCCATGTAAATAAAATAAATGCAAATATACTAAAGTACCTTTTATAGTTTAAAGAAAATACAAACAGATTTTATCTTGCATGGTGTTTGCAATATTTCTTTTTATATAGTTAAAGTGTTAGGGGTTTGATTGTCTTCTTTCATGGTAGAATATATTAATTAACACACCAAGGAATTGGAATAAATATAAATGAAGTAGATATAACCTTAAAAATCAGGATGATTTTGTTCCATAAATTATATGCAGTTGGTAACACTCTCAACTCAGTTTTTAGAAAGATCTGAAGACTAACTTGAGTGGTTTTAATTTAACAACTATAAATTTTAAATAAATATTTAGATAGTCAAATAAAACAACTTTTTCTTTTCCTCAAGATTGCCTACTTCCTAGATTTTCAGTCTGATTTTTTTAGTACTTCAAGTGCAGCAGAATTTTAAGAACTGATAAATGTGAGTGCTGTTATATAAAATAGATAATATATTGCAACAGCTTCATTATTACATGTTACAGATGAGTTTTTGGTTGGTTGGTTTGTTTTTAAATGCAGTCATTCTGTAGATTTTAAATCTTTACAGTACTTTGTATTTTAAGGAAAATCAAAGAAAATTGAAAAAATCAAACATCTTCATATTTGTGGTAACAAACATAAAAGTAAGTTAGGTGGATGAAAACAAACACACATCTCTTCTCAGCTGATTTTCACTCATGAAAAGGAACACAGATCAGTAGAGGTTAAGAGGATAATAATAGTTAACAACCATAATGAGAAAACACAGCAACAAATGCACTTTAAGATGTAGAAAAAATAAGTGCAGATTATACTTCTTTCTCTCAGCAAAGTCGTAAGTTCTGAGACTTTCTGTCCAAATAACAATCAATTGGATTATTAAAGCAGTACTTAGTCTCCTTTATGTAATGCATGAAGGTTTTTTTGGTTTCTAATCCTCCAACATATCACATGTAAATAATTGAATATATAGGGAATAAAAACTAAAACATATAGGGAAAAATATCTCTTATTGTAGCATTTGTAGAAAAAAGTGCCTGAGAATATGGTTAGAGAAAGCCATAACATGGAAGAGTCTTACATTTGAATATGGGAATGGTTGTAGAAATACAGTCAAAATAGAGAAATATCAGCTGCTCTTTCTCTGCTAAAGGTGCTTTTATGACTGTTGTCTCTGTATTTTATGTGTGATCCTTAAGAGAGCCACTGAAAACATAACACCCACGTGAACTGGAAGTTGCTGGAATTTGTAGAACTTGAACACCTTCCTTTTAGGCAATGGGCATTTCCAGCTGAACTCCAGGAGTTAGAGGTTGTTATTACCAAAGCACTCCAAAGCTCCACAGCAGGTCAGTTATGCAGTTACACATCACAGTGTACCTTTGGTTACTGGATGAAGCAAGAGGGACTTTCTGGCCAGCAGTGGTGAAAGTGGCCTCCCTCTGACTTGTACCCGCTCCAAGCCTCACAGAGCCCTTGGAGGCCACTGGCTTGGCATTGTCAGTGTTGGCATCCCTGGTGGAGGGTTTAGGAGGATGCCAAATACTGGAGGTCACATACTGTGGCACATGCGCAGTGTCTGCAGGCCTGGGTAACAAAGATTACAAGGGGGTTTGAAAACGAGGCATTTCCTAGGGAATAGCAGGTATTTGAGGAAGAGACAGAATTCCAGTCACAGAAGAAGCTGGAGATCATCATGGTATTGCAGATGAAGTAATGACAAATCCTGATAGTTCATTAGTTTATTACTGCTTAAGACCAGGAAAGGCTTGAAGAATTAAAAAAGGTACCTTGTGTTAAATCTGGAAACCATATTGCTATGAATATCAAAATAAGACACATAGCAAGGCTGTGATGATAATGGAGGTGGAGAAAAGCTATGGTAGGACAAGTCACACAAGATTAAGGCAATGTAGTATGACACTAACACCAGTCATATATCAGAAATTGTTCCTGGTAAAATAAAACAATAATTAAAAGAAAAAGAGATTTCAGTGGAGCAGCTGCACAGTCTTGTAGATGGTTTTAAACAAATGAAACTGTTGGTGAAATGCTAAAGTGTTCCTTGTTTTATACACTTTAATTTTATATACAGGAATCAAAGTGTTTATTTCCTTCTATTTTCATAATTAATTTAAAAATAAAAATCAATTTTCCCTACTGTTTCAAGGGCCAGTTGCCATTGCTTGTGTCACTAGTAACAAATAACACTTGCACTCAGATTTTAACTCCATGCAACCTTTGTTAAAATGAAAGAAAAAATAAAAGAAAAAATACAAAGTGTTTGCACATCTGAGGCAGGAATCAACAAGACAGAGGAAAGCAGCGAGACAGAATTCGTTTCATGAAAAACTGATGAGGCATTTCTTTGCTCCGTGAAACTATTGGTCAGATTCACTCAAGAAATACTTGTATCAGTACTTGTGTGGTTTAGTACATGAACTAATAGAAAACAGCACATTTTTATCTGTAACTGCAAAATGTGCTAAGATCATTTGGGAGAAAACAACTTGACATGAAAGAACTTACAGAGAGACTGTTTTGAATCTCATAACCCACTGAGGATCAATCAATATATGCAAGAATCCGACATGTAAGAGTTCTTAAAATACCAAAAAGATAAACTTATTTAGATCTTAAAAATATCTTGAATGATCTAGGCAAAGTTTAAAATGGAAACGGTTCTTAAAACTCCACCACAAATTGATAATACTCCATTTTGAGACTATTTGCTAAAAACTTGTTATTTTTCAAGTTTGTAATTTCTGAGAAACATGATCCCCACCTGTCCCATGTCATAGTGTTTCTTGAAGTCTGCATTAGAAAGAAATGTCTAATGAACCACTTAGCTGAAGCCTCCACAGTCATCACCTGCTCAAACAGTGTATAAATGTCATGTTTTTGAGGTAAGAACAATATGGGGAAAGTGGAGATACACTCTTAATAGGAAGTAAGTCAAACATAGCAAACATTACCTGTTTTCTGATGCTGCTGCAACATTTTCCTTGTCTCTGTGAAAGGAGGGATACAGTGTGAATGAAGTAAATGCAATTGCCAGTGGTGGCAAGAAAACCCACCCAAAAACAACCAAGGAGAAAGAAAATGGGTTGAGGAGAAATGTTTGGTTGCAAAAAGCATCCTAGAGTGGTTGCTCATAAATATAGTTGTGAGAAATCTCTTCAGCTTTCCAGGTGAAACCCACCAAATATACAAGTTTACTCCATACTGCTGCTTATAATTATATGCTTCTTATCAGTTGCAAACAACTTTGTTTCGATAATAAAGTAAAAGGAAAATTAACAGTTACAAATTAGATGTTGTATGTCTGCTTTTAATTTCAGGAATAGTTTTGATTTTAATAAGTTCCCTTTAAAAAAAAAATTCAATAATATTCCAGCAGAACATATTTTGTTGCCAAATCCAAGCAGTGAAACTAATCAGATTTGGGCAATCCTCAAGGATCTGGTATTTTGAAGTGATAAAAAATGGGTAACAAAGATTCATACAAGAAGGATTTCTTGTGCCTGGTATCACTTAAAAATTCTCTGTCCTATCCAAGTACTTGTTTTCTCAATGTAAATCAGATTAGAAACAATTCCTTCACTGACAATTCCCTCAATTAGAAATCATTCCTTCCCTGAGGTGAGGAGTAAATCAGCCTTGATTTCTCTGACAGAGAACTGGGCTATTATTCAGTAAACACACACACACACTTAAAAAAATAACTGATCAGTTTAAGTGCAAGCAACTGTGTATCTGTAAGAAGTTAAGACAAAAGTATTTTCATAAAGAATAGAATCCATTAGCCTTAAACTCCTAAGTTTGAAATCCAGTTAGTTAAGTAATTGAGATAGTCTCAATATTTAGCAATTTAGTGGGTGGTTGTGTCCCTTTCTATTTAAGGAATTGTGCTGAAATTGATAGGTTTAAAGCTAAAATATGCCAAATGAGAACACTTTTCTTAACTGGGATCTGAAATTACAAAACACAAAGCAAATGTCCTCATTTATCCTACTGCGCCTTCTTTCTGCAGTGTCCTTTTGAAAAAAAAAAAAAAGGAATACATGTATTTATGTGGATTTGCTGGGCACCAATCATTAACTTACATTACATTTGGAAGGCTATTCTTAATAATTTCCCCATTATTAGCAGTATTTTATATGTGCCTCTGTGTTTATGTACTTACAGATACATACGTATGTATAGTCATATGTGAAATGGCTTTTCCTTAGTTCAGTTTTAACAAAGTTATAAAAACCAATCCAGTTTAGATCAGCAAAGGTTTGGGCATAGGCGTCCTCTACAAATTTTTAAAACCTCTAACTAAAATGTAACCCCTAAAATACATGAAGTCAGATTTTCAAACCTAGAAGTGGATCTCAAATGCCCCTCAGATGCTGCCGCCTGACTACAAATGTTACTGGGGTTGGTCTGGAAGAGCCTGTCTTAAAAACAAATCCCCTGATGAGATCAATCAGCTCACCACTCTGAAGCAATGAGAAACCAAACACTGCCTTTGGGGTAATCAAGTTGTGAGTTCATTGCAAAGTCAGGATGAAACAAGGTAGAGGAGGATGGATTAGAGGCTGTGTGTGTGTGTGTGGGGGAAGTGTTAGTACACCAAGAGCCACAGTCATGCAAGGACGTTAAAGAACACAGCCACAGCCTGAAAGGAATAAAGCATTGCTTATTCCCAAGTATTCTTCGAGGGATCACAGCCAAGACCAAAAGGCAGGCAGTTGGGGTCAGGCTGAAGCAGCGTTAAGCCTCTCTTGTTATTATTAATCTGATCCAAACTTTTCTGCCCCATTAGTAGTGGCTACACCAAAGAAGAGAAAAAAGTCGTCACTTGATTTTGAGGTCAGCATTTCACAAAAGTTTTTTCCCCGAGTGTACAAAATAGGATGACATTGAGTGACGATGGCAGGGGAGTTGGGAAGGTGAAAAAGAGAGAGTAGTAAAAATACTTCCACAGAATAAAGCAAAGGAAAAGGCAGAGAGTAGAGGGAAAGATGAGTTCAAAGGCACACAATAATTCTTCATGGTGTGGCTTCCAGGAACTATTTCTCTTCCCAGTCAACAGGAGTAATGCCCATTTGGTTAACAATAAGAAAGGCTCAAGATCCATTGTGCCTCTTATTTGCAATACTTGCATTTTGAGGAACAGGCTACTGTACAATCAAACATTTTCTCTAACTAAATGCAGAAATAATTTTACTTTTGAGCCAAATACATCCCTGGGGCAGGCTCAGTAAAGTCAATACCTTCACCACATGAAAAAATTTGGCTCAGAATATTATGAGCAGTTTATATCTCTGTGGCTACACAGGCTGCTCCAGTAACTGACAATAGTTTTGAGCTATCTGGAAGAGATTTAAAATGAATGGGTTTTTGATTTGTTTTTGGGTTTGTTTGTTTGTTTTTTGTCTGCAGCCTTTTTATTCCCCACTGAAATGGCTTTTGATAGAAGGGCCTTAGTCGATGACCATTGTGAGAGAACAGTGCAACTCCCACAGACTTCATTAAATGTTGGACATATATCTAAACTAGACTTACACAATATACTGTCTTCCCAGTTACACGGTATATTATACAGTGGAAATCTTGAAATGCTTCCTTCTCATAAAAATATGCTACAGGATACGGTCACGTAGACAGAGTGACTGAAATTACAGAAATAGAGTCTTTCCCCCACACACCAACAAGAATTGGTGTAACCAAATGCAAAATTCCTTTGCAGACCAAGCTTGTGTGTGCTATTGGATCCTAAAAAGAGCCTGGAGACACTTAAGAGAGTTTCCAATGAGTATGTTAAATCTGAACTGTATGAACTGGACATGGGAATACTTTCCTATTCTACTTTACTTTTGGAAACCAAATGTAAAAGATTCCCAAGCACCTACATATAACAGGCAAGCTGAAATGTGGAGGTTGTGTACCTTCCATCTGCCTTCTCTTTAGATGGCAACAGGTGTTTAATGAAGACCTAATGACACAAGAAACATGAGGCATCCTGAGAGACCACATGGTCCTTCAGCTCTCTCTTTCAGACTGAAGCAGTAAGTGAATACTGTAATTGAGTTCTTTCTCTATACTCTTATGGAGCAAGATTGTTTTTCTAATTTTACAAATGAGAAATTAAAACTTAATAGAGTTGCTTATGGTCACAAAGAAGGTCTACAGCAGGGCACAGAATTGAAATAAGCTCTCCTGAATCCCATCTGAGTATTTAAAATATCAGCTCACCCTCTTTAATGAGAGATTATATATTTTATAATAAATATATCTATTCAGTTTATTGGTATTTTCCTGTATTAGTCATCCAGTAGTCTTCTACAGAGCCTGAGAGATATATACTGGCCTTTTTTCAAAGGGGAAGTGGATTTACAGATTATTAAGGTCTATATCTATTGAAATTAAAAATTCTGGTTTTCTAGTAGTATGGTGCAGATTTGTTGGACTTAGACTTACAATAGCTTTCATCCTAACATACTTATATTTACATAAACATATTTGCCTACAAATACAATTTCCTTTTAAGAAGTAGAAGTTACAAAATAACTTCAAAAGAAATTTTTATAGGGTGTCTGGGAGTAAAGTTGTGTGACAGTTATTTTGTAATTACCTTTCCAACATTTTTTTGTCTCAAAGGCATGAGACACTGACACTGTTGAAAACTGGACACTGAGCTACATTAACTGTTGTTCTGATCCAATGAGGCTGCTTCTACCTTTCTGTGTTTGCAGCTGAGAACTTTTCCATGGTCAAATGACTATAAAACTATTGAGGATGTTTGTCTTTTTTTCCCCCCATGCTATATTTTTGTTATTCCAACACAGACATCCTAAGACACACAAAGAAATCATAGGCAGTTAATGGAGAGGACAGAAGACAACTATCATGCTGGTTTAGTTAAAACTAGCTTGGAATCAGAAAAAAAGGGGTAGAAGAGCTAGTCTCTCTTTTTCAGCCACTGTAGTTAAGAATGTGAGCAGCCCACGCCAAAACGTGGCAATATTGCAATATATGCTCCTAGTGTGTCTGCTTTCCAAAACAGGGAAATACATTTCTCCCAGAAGGTATCCTGGTTTGTGCAGACAGTGGCACAGAACAGGAAAAGCATTATCATAGATTCAGTGGAAAACAACCAGCAACTCATTCTCAACAAGTAGCATGGAACTCAGTCAAAGCAGGTCGCTAAAATCAAAGCCAACACCCTCCCATGAATGCATTTTAGTGGCACCTGCAGGTTTGCTGTTAAATGTAACAGTCACACAATAAATGCAGCTGGGCACACAGCAGCACTGGTGTGGGGGAAAGGGAAGGTCACTCTTTTCCAAGATTTGTAGAGTGATATTTGCCATGCAAGTATATGTACTCCCATTTTCAATTTTATCACCAAAGACTGCAAAATTCTGAGCATGTGTAGCAATTAGAGCTGGGACGTAATTCGCATAATTGTTCCCTATCTTGGCCTTAACTGTGCAATTGGATTGAACGGAATGATTTGGCCCTGCTTTTTACAGCCCCACTGGTAAAGTGCAGATATCTGCCACCAGGCACCTGAGCACAGGATCTGGACTTTCAGGCTGTGTTTGTGACCATTACAGACAAAACCAGTGCACAATAAATTTAGATTTTGTATGCCAGGAAACAATTCCCCTTTCACTGAAGTGTTCTTTCTCTTCATGACCTCACTTTTCTCCAGGGAAGCTGAGAGGACAAGAACCCAGAGATCTCAATTTCAGCTGGTAGATCTTTTAGACCTACTTTTTAGTTTGTGCGTATTGATGATAAGAAAATTCATACTTCTTCTACGTGGCATTATGCTAAGTTTGCAGCTGCCTCTGAAATACAGCAATGTGTCTGTGCTGTTCAGTTCCTGAATCAAGTAACTAAGTGGTATGAATTAGAACACTTGTTATTCTTTCAGAATGTGGATTGCATTTTATTTCATAAACTCTCTTAAGGATCTTCTTACCTTCCCTCTCTCTCATTTGTAATCATATAA